CGGAACTTTTCGTAAAAATTCTTAAACATCCAAGAATTTTCATGTTCTGAGGCATAATAAGTCTTGAAGTTTCTGTTAGATTTTACAACTTCCAGAAAAATTACGTGACTTTTTCGTATTTTTTCGGTGACAGACCCGAAAATTTACTGAACGTTTCAGATTTATTCTCTTATATTCCTATAGAAATTCACTGAAAACGATTCTCGCTTGCGGATTACGTGAAATGTTCCGTAATTTTTCTTGAATATTTCTCTTCGTGTACCCAATTGTCAAGAAGCCTAAAGTAGCTTAAATGCTAAGCGAAACATCGCGAATTGACAATAATCTACTGCAGTTTATCGTTTTCTCCACATTTTCCACTTCCTTGATTTGGCAATGATCTTGCATCTCTAATCGAATCCGACTGGTAGCGACGTGGTAACATCTCGAACTACCGTTCAAACTTTTACATTCAGTAGCGCCATGCTCTTTAATTGCCTCACGATGACTCCGCCAATCGCCAGTAGAATCTCCCCCTGCAATTAAAACCCACCGCCCACCCCACAGCCCCTCCACGGCTCCCCTCCCTCCCTCCTTCCCGCTCTCCCCCCTAAAAACCAAACATTGTTCCTCCCCAACCTGTCGCCGAGGCCTTACAACTGTTCAATAGTGTGGGCATTCATACTCGGTTTTTTATCACCCAACAGGGAAAATAAGAGGCAGCTCGTAAGTTGCTCGTAAATTCGTCAACAGTTGGCTTCTGCTCCAGGTATGGCTCACAGAGCGACCCACTATCTCTGGTATCTCTTGCTCTCTCTCTATCGGTCCCACCGTACCCCTTTATCCATATCCAACGTGCCCGAAGGGCCCCATCGTATGTGTATCTGTCTGGTGGTGAGGGAGAGCGCGCGCCAGTCTCCATATCCCACTCGCAGCAACCACTCCGCACTAAATCACAATGGCACGTCAGTTTCTTTACATTGCACGGATTTTATTGATTATTTTACGGCCGGGAACATTGTAAATCTCTTCATCCCAGGGCATCATCTTCGTTCGTCTCCCCCCCCAAATCCCCTCGCGCTGCCACTTTGACCCTGGGATAAATCCCATAGCGCCAATTATATGCAGGGGGATACTACTTTGTTATGGGGCTTGAGACGGATTGAACTATTAAATTCTTCGGGGGATTTTTAGGATTTATTTTGATTTTTGGAGGAGGTGAATTGCTATTAGTCGCTTTGGTGAGATGATTCTTCGTTTGGTTATTGGTTCGTCATTTTTCAGTTTTTTAAACAGTTGGCGTGAAAGGAATTTATTTGTGGAGTTCAGGTTATAATTTCAAGAATTTTCAATCATTTAATTCATCAATTAAATTGCGGAAGAAGAATTTGACAAAAATCGAGAATATTCAGCGTTACTAAAATTACATTTTGCAGAGAATTATTTTTTTAAACAGTCGTTGTTTATAAATGAATAATTGAAATTGTTTAAACTTTCGGAAACATTTCTTTTAGGCATTAAATCGATTCCTGGGAAAAATCTGAATATGAATAATTTTTTTCCGATTCCCAGCAAATGATTTTTATGGCGAAAAATTGATTGTTTATAAATTATTTATAGAAAAAACTTGTAATTTTTTAAAATTGCAATTATTTAATTATTTCATCAATCTTCCTTCAAAAGTAAACTTTCCAATTTTTTTTCTCAAGTTTTTAAAATGTTTTCCAACGGTTGAATATCCTTTAAAAATATTGGAAAATGTCCGCATTGGACTATTGAATTCTTGGGAAGATTTTTAGAATTTGTTATGATTTTTGTAGAAGTTGAATTGTTATTAGTCGTTTTATTGAGATAATTCTTCGTTTGTTCATTATTTCATTATTTTTTTTCAAAGTTATTATGAACGAAATTTACTTATGGGATTCGTAAGAAAAAATTGTTTTTTTTTAAGTGTTTTTCTTTACCTTCCAGTAAACATATTAATGAAATGAATAAATTTTTATAGATAATTTTTGGAATTTATTTCGAATCTGAAGGAAATTAAATTCCTGGCAAATCCCTTCACTGGGATAATTAAATATTAGTTGAACGCAATCAATTTCTTGGGCCCCGTTAACCGACTGGAGTGAATCACGAAATTTTTCGTAAGACTCGTAAGAATTTCTTCTTCAGAACTCAGTTTCACCGAATTCTCAGAGCAATACTCACTCGAATATGTATGTACAGTCCTCCTTTTAGGGTCATTTTTTTGTACTTTATTTTTTCATTTCGTATCTCAAATTGTATGGGTACGATAACTATACGTCACGCGATATACCTCACAGCAAACGTGGAAACAGAACACTTGAAATCGTTTTAAGTATATAATTACGAATGACTTTCACCCTGCGGTTATACCCGTCAATTTTTTTTCCATTTTTTTTTCGCAATTTCATGTCAATGTAACCGGAAAAAAATAACGCCAAATAATGATTTAACGTTTTCTCTGGGACTCTCAATAACTGCGTTGAATTCATTATGATGGGGCGGGGAGGAAGAGCGAAAATAAAATGGCAAAACATTTTCGTGTTCACCTTTTATTTCCTCTCCACCAATTACTCCATTAATAAAAAATTCAAACTGAAAATGTTTGAAATATCCAAAAGTTAACAAAAGTCTGTGCATTTCAAAAATTCTAATTTCAATTTGACAATTCCTCGAATTTAGAGGAATGGCGCCTTTAATTTTTCATTCAATCTGATGTGTAATTTCTGTAATTAATATTAAAGTTGAAAACATGATTAAAACACATGTATTTCCCAGAATGACACAAAAAGAGTGTTTTTTAAATACAACATGTTTTTTCTTGAATAAAACATGAATTCAGGGAATAATTGGCAAACGGGAAATGAGAAAACGATTCGTCCGATG